TTTTGCCACTTTGTTGGGATATTACGATTTGTTATTATTAGTAAAAGAATATTAATTTACCAAAGATATTAAGATTACTTTTGGGTTTTTCCTATTTAATTTATCATCATATAGGAAACATAAATATGGATATAATTATAGCCAAACACCTCCTAGTCATCATTATGACAATAAAAAATGATTAATTAATAAAAATAGTATTTTCATGCATAAACAAATTCAACGCCCAATTTGAAGTCATGGGGGCTAAGTATTTTTAGATTTTTGAATATAATATACTTGGAGGACAGGTAATCTAAACAAAAAAGACTTTTATGTAAAGTAAAGAAATCATAAAAATTACCATTTAATTATGCTGTATATATACATCTTCTTCTTGGTTTCCTTCGGACTCCACTTCTTCTCTGCCACCGAATCAGACGAAGGGTGGACGACACAAGGAGGTAAGAGAAAAGGACACATCTCATCGTCATGACGTCTTCTTGATGATGATTTGGTATGGTTGTGCATCTGAAACAGTGCGATGGAAGAAGTGCGCGCGACGATCAATTCGATTTTGGAAGAGCAAGCAACTCTTGAACGAGTGAGTTGTTTCTTCTTGTTCTATAGGATGCCTTTCCATGTTCTTGATGAGGCTAATGGTTCCTCCTCAGGAACTAGAAGCGTGCAGAAGTCGACTTGAGATTCTGAGAGAAAGGAACTCCATGTTCCAAGAAGAGGTTGGTGGATTCTTCCTTCTTCTTTCTTCCCTTCTTGGTTACCTTTTCTCTTCCTTCGCCGAAATCTCCCTTCAGCTGGCAAAGGCGGCTGCTGATCGCCGTGCACCTGGAACTCCATCTCCGCCAGCCACCGACAGCCGCGTCGGCTCGACAACCGCGTCCGGCCAGCAAATGCAAAGCGCGGGACTGCAAGGTGGCGCCAAGAATGGCGAGGAAGCGCAGGAGGGAGATAGATGAGATGCAGGGGAGAAGAAGATGCATGAAAGCAAGAACACTTCAAGTAATGCAGCCAAAGGAAGTAGCAGAACTGATTCATGCCAATAGGTTGTAATCTTCCAGCAATTGTCTCAACATAGCAAAGGTGTCAACGCCTTGGATTTCTAAACTGTCAGAGACGAAACGTACTGCATTACCAAGTGTTCTTGTTTTTACTGATATAAGGCTTCTTGGAAGACAAACTTTGAACCAAAGTAGTCAAACAACTGTTCTTGTTTTTGTTGGTGTGAGGCTTCTTGAAAGACAAATTTGATCCAAAGCAGTCAAACAACTGTTCTTGTTTTTGTTGGTGTGAGGCTTCTTGAAAGACAAATTTGATCCAAAGTAGTCAAGACTATCACCAGAAATTACTTAAAGCTATCGAATTACTCCATGTTGAGATTTACTTGGACAACACCTTACTCTAATGCCATGTTGAGATTTTTAATCAGATGTCAGAACTGCTATATATACATAGAGATTAAACAGTAATCCGATCCGAAAAAAAAGAAGAAGCTTATTTTAAGCTCTTGGAAATGTCACACCACACTCCCATGCTTCAGCCATCATCTTGGTTCAGCTACAGGGGAGGCAGCAATAGTTGTGAAAACAGGGTTGCTAATTGTGCATATTGGTGTTGAGAGAATCTGCAAATACCATACAACATGAGACAAGATTCATCACTACTGGCATGATCTAACATAGGATCAAGGTGGTAAGATGGATACACCATATCACGATTCCATTGCAGGAGTATTCTCAGTGATACGCAAGAATGTCAGATATGATGGATTGTTGTAGCATCCAACAAGGGTGGCCCAGTGAGATTTCTGGATGTTAGTAGTTGTTTATATGGTGAAGCAGTCAGGTTTCGTGTTCATCTTTTGTGCATTTATATACTCCCATTGTTTGAGAGAGCAGCTTTAGAAATGCAAAAGGAGTTTTGAAAATCATTGGGGTTAATTGAAGAGTTATCCTATGAAAATAATTTCATAAAATCATCGATCATTACTCGATCTTGGAAATGTTTATGAAACCATTGAGCATTTTGATTACACACGTAGATTTGTGTTAATGAGACAAGGAAACCCAACTTATGTGTCAAGGTGATCGAGCATCTAAGATGACATCGAAGGTTAATATTGAGTGGACACTCTGTATAGACATCACTGATATTGAGTTGACACTCATATAGACATCACTGATATATTGATGTATCGAATTAACAAGGTGTCTAATGAGATGTGATATGACAGCACATTATCCACATGTTAATTCAAAGCATTATTTGACCCAAGCAAAGACTATATCATAGCAGACCACTTACCTCAAACTAAATCCTAATAAGACTCATTTTAGGACAACCCACACACAAATAGGAGCGGCCACTAAGCAAGGAGGGTACATCAATCCTACAAGAAAAGTACTAGTTTGGACATGGCCTATAATAAAATTTGATTGACTTCAGAGCGAGATGCCTTTAGTTAATGATACTTGAAATAATTTTTTCTGTAACCTTTTTGAATCAAATTATTACTTTGGAGTTAACGTAGTCTTAACATGTCTTACAGGATTTTTTTTTTAGTTTATTCAGTATAATTCTGCGATGCTTCTTCATTGTTCTTCAATTATTAGGTTTACGTTATATGCACTTGCAAGGGACCAATTAACATCTTTCATGCACAATATCTTAGTTGCACCAATGGCCAGTCATCTTCATAAGATGATAGTTTGATTGAATTATATTTTCTATTTGTGTAGGTTTTGCCTTGTGCTATGTTGGCCTTGACGGTTCACCCTTCAACAACACATAATCTTATTGATAGGATTTCTTGGGCCTTTTGCGTTTATCTGGAAGCTGTTTCTGTGTTGCCACAATTACGTCCGATGCAAAACACAAAGGTATAAGCTGAAAATTGAGAGCATCAAATTCCCAAATCTGTTTTTTTCTAACTCTACCTATATTCATGGTTGCCACATTGTTGTGTTAGTTTGGCAAGTCCCATAGTCCCACATCAGGAAAATCAGGCTTGTTATCTTCTATTGGAACTATAAATAAGGGTCTGAGCTTTGAAGTCAGATGCATCACAAGAAAAACCTAAGTGTTT